ACAAACAAAAAGAAGTGCTAACTGCATAATGATTACTAGTTAGAGGCAAATGAAGATCCTGTTGGGTTTGTTTACTGCATTCAGTCAGTGGTCTAATTAAATATTTATAACAAAAGGCATTTAAAGGATGCCAGCATTGGCCGTATTTTATGCACGTATGAACAAGTGAAATATATTGGAGTTGACATAGGTTCTGCGGTTACTTACAGTTTGCTAATGCAAAGTAAAAATATGTCTGCTTAATGTACAGTTAAGATCAGTTTTTAACCCTGAATTAAGAAAAGTCTGAATGAACTTGATGTGGAACAGATGTTTAATTGTAGTTGAGTTTTGATTTGCAAATCTTTATTTCCTGACTGCTCTGGTGTGTAGACTAGTGTTTGAGTAACCCTAAGTGGTCTGTTTTGAAGTACAACATCTTTTATTTAGAAAAAGAAAAATAGGGATGACATTAAATTTGATACATTTTTAAAATACTGATCCAGATTCAACAGACATCACTGAAAGTAATATTTACGTGTGAAGTCATCTCAAAGCCAAAAGATGCTCTCTACATCTCTACAAAGTTCATGCAGAGGGAACCAAAACCCTTTCTTTCACCTCTGGTATCACCACAAGCAAATGAATGTATATACTATAAATGCCCTTACTTAGATAGTCTTAATGTACATACCAATTTTGGCACCAATGTACAAAATTACAATAATGGTACTTTCCTCACTCTTTCAGTACTGAAAATACTAAAACCTGAAGGAAAAAGATATTTGCCAGGGTTTTAGATAAGCTCTGAACATCTTCCTACAAATCAAAGTAGGCAGCTAACTCTCAGAAAGGTTAAAGTCACAAATGAACTCTGAAAGTGTTACCCCACGGCTGAAGTGAGTTTTGTATCCCGCATAAACACGACCAACTGCACAGCTTGGTTTCAGTGGGAAAAAGGGATGTCTCAGGGATAGCAGCAATGGGCTATTTTTAGAGTTTGGAAGAGTCATTGTTTGCCTTGCTGTGCTTTGGGTACGGGTCCAAATGTTCTAGGTCTGAATACGACCAACCTTTCCAACACACCACTGTAACTTCTGCTCACTTGTTTTTCAAAGCCTGTGTTAATTCCATGGTGGTCTGTTGGCACCATCCATCCCAACCTATGGCTCTGGTTACACTTTGGCTTTCCTCCAGGCTGTGGCTGCCAAAATCCACCCCCCTTATGGCCCCAGAAAAGGGTTTGTGTCCAGCCAGATCAAGTCCTTGGTCCTCCTCGCTGCATGGCAATGATGGATGTAAGCTCTGGTGCAGAGAGGGGATGGCTAACAGGATGGTCTGTGGGCTGCAGGGCTGTTTTCTGCTATGGTCTGAGAGACATGTAACAGCACTGGGTTTGTCCTTGGGAGCCAAGTGGCAGAGGATGCATTGGGGATGCCCAGCAGCTGTGCCCAGTGCGTGGCCACCATGCCTCCTGGGCACAGGGACTGCCTCCGGGCCAGCACCCCAAGGGCCTTCCTCTGAAGGGTGCAGGGCGGACGGGCAGCGGGTGGGGCTGCGGGGGATGGCCCCGTCACCTCCATTTCACTTTGCCACCACCCAGCGATGCAGCAGTCACAATGCCTGGAGGCAGGATAAAAGGGAGCATCCTCCTGTGTCCCACTGCCAGCCTGCCTGGCTTCATGGTCTGAGGGCTCCATCCAGGAGAGCAGGTCTCTGCAGCGCAGGTCCCAGGCCCATCCAAGAGACAGGGTCAGAGACGGGCACAGCTCAGGCAGGGATTATAGGTCTCGGGCTAGGCTGAGATGCCGTGTCCCCTGGGCCCTGGGCAGGAGATGATGTGGGTGGGGGTCCCAGGGGAGGCTGCTCCCAGCCATTGAGGCCTATGAGCACCCCCAGGACGCTGGCAGAAGCAGACTTGCACTGCTCATGTGCTCTCCTGTAGACATTTATGGTTGGCTGCTTTGGAGACCAAGTATTGGGCTAGATGAACCTTTGCTCTGATGGAGTACTGTTAGATGTGTGTCTATACACCTATACATAAATGCACATCTATACATACATGTGTAAGGTTAACAATTATCATTTTACACATTGGCTTTGACTATCGCTTGGCATCTCAACCAACTGGTAGAAAAAAAAATAGAATCCAGTTTAAAGAGTAACATTAAACTGTGCAAACCATGATGCTGCCCTCTTAGAGTCCCCTCTTCTTCTATTAAAAAGTTTCTAACTTCTGAAATGACTGAATCACAACAGTTGTCTTCTTTATGTAACTTCAGTTCTTGTTTAGAGACACTCTCCTAGGAGCATGGGGTTTTTCAGAGAAATTGTGTTACTGTATAATTTAAACTGTGTAGTAATGCCTGTCCCCAAAGGGATTACAAAGAAATTACACTTGAAAAGTTTGGTTTTGCAAATTAAATATATTTGCAGATTTTAAAAACTATATCACAATCTAAAAAAAAAAAATAAAAAATTAAAGAACTAGGAGTCTTTCAGTTTTACAAGTAGGATTTTATAATGAGAATCGTTGCTGGTACTGAGAAGCTTCTTATGCTTTTGAATCCACAGCAGCTCTATGAATGTCACTTGCTGATGCTATAACTTCTTTGTATTGTGCTGCTGTCTAGAATGTAGACCTACATAACTTGGCCTTCATAGTATGGTAGTGTTTTTCCTTATGTGGAAGAACTATAAACTTACAAAAAGATCTTTAAAGATACAGCGGACATTGCCAGTGTATCCAAGTTCTGTGTTGACTCTGACTTCCTAAGAAGAAACTGTGCAATATTTTACTGTTATACTTGCAACATATTTCCTGTAAATTTGGCTGCTTTATGTTTCTGTATGTCAAAGACTTGATGTTAACTGTGGTTTTTAGTTTATGAACTTTATAAAAAGCTATGTAATTAGCAACTGACTCAAGATATGGACTTAATGATAGCATATATTATTTCTGCACTAATCTGTAGTAGATTTCCTTTACTGAAATATGTGTACTTGGAACTTGCCTTTGCAAGGTGTGATCACTGAGGTGTACAATGATTTAGGGAGAAAAATGATATCTATTACATGGATCTAAGCAGGCTAAGATTCTTCCAACCCTTTCTTGCTTTTACTTTTCCTGCTTTTGATTGATTGGTTTTTTTGGTGTGTGTGGTTTGTTTGTTTGTTTTTTGTTTTTGTTTTTTTAAATTAAGCTGAAGATGAGGCTGTCAGGAAAACTAAATGGTTACTTCAGACTCTAAGGGGAAATACTCATCTGTCTTTCTGAAGAGTAAAATTTTTCAAAGTACCAGACAGACTTAAGATTCCCAGCTCCCCATTTCAAAAGTGACTCTAAGTTCCACTGCCTCACTGTGATGCTTGTACTCATTTTATAAGTTTGTTTCTTTGAAAATTTTCTGATCTTTGGGGTTGTAATGTCTGCTGAACAATGCGATCTTGAATAAATAAAGCTTTGGATTCTTGTTCTCTAAAACAACAATGCCTTCACTATTTGCTCAGTGCATACCTTCCTTTCTCTCCCCTCCCGGCCCTGGTGCCCTGTGCGGCGGAGCTGGGCTGGAGGCAAGCGGGGAGCCGGGGCACATTGTGAGTGCCCTGGTGCTGCCGGCGGGGGACAATGGCCGTAGTGTCGCGAGGGCCTACACAGGGGCAGCCGATGGCGTTTCAGTGGAATTGCAGTGGTGTGTGGCATCTACTGAAATCTGTAGGATAAGCAAATGCAAAAATTCCTTTAAGCTGCCAGGCCTCTGAAAATGCCCTGTTTATGGCCTCATTGATAAATGCCACAAATAGCAGAGCAGTCATGAAGGAGTTGGTTCAAACCGGGAGACTGCGTGCCATTCATGTTCAAATTTTAACTGTGGAAAGAAATTCTCATCTTCCCCACTCCTGAGTATGTGTTGTGAGCTGTCTACTCTAAAACTTTTTCTCCTGTTAGCTGCTATCTCAAGTACAACAAATCTTTTCCCTAAAACCTGGCACACAGAAGTAGGGCCTAGGCCTGCTTTTCCTTGCGGAGATATGGGATGCCCGTGTTTATGATCCCAGTTCCAGGTACGAGAAGAACAGAAAGAACTTCAGGACCAATTGCCATTTATTTCAGCTGTAGTAGCACTGAGCTACAGCAAGCAGCCTTTTTAAGAGTGTGTTAAAATGATGAGCAGTTTTCTATTACTATTATAAAGTAGCAGACTACGATATTGAAACTAACCTCAAACACGAATGTGATTTTAATTATTGCCATTTGCTTCAGCTGTAGTAGCACTGAGCTACAGCAAGCAGCCTTTTTAAGAGTGTGTTAAAATGATGAGCAGTTTTCTATTACTATTATAAAGTAGCAGACTACGAAACTAACCTCAAATACGAATGTGATCTTAATTATTTTTTTCTTTGTTACTGACTTTCACAAATATTATTGTTAGGAAGAATAAACTTCTTTAAGATTGGTTTTTATTTTTGAGTATCTAATGGATTTGTTTGGTACTGAGAGAGTTCATAAATCTACAGGTAGAAGGCAGCCCTCTTTTCTTATGTTCTGCCTCTTAAAACCTCTGCAGTGCAGACAGCTAGACATGTTGCTTCTGTTCTGCTTATGCTTGTATGCTACTTCTGCTGGTTTGATCACCGACTTTTAGTGGTCCGCTTGTTCTTTTTGTCTCTTGAAGATGATAACGTGCTTTATTTTTCATGGGAGTTCATATCACTTAATTCATAAAAGTTATTGAGATGTATGCCAAAATGCTAGAAACACAGAAGTTAACAGAAATTAACACTGTAGGAAGTATTACTTTTTAGAAGATAATAATATAAAAAAAGTTGACTCGTGAAGTAGTCTCCTGTTATTTTAAAAATAAAGATCCAGAAAAACTAAGAACTATCTAGTGATGCTTAATGGTGCAAAATATTTAAATCAGTTTAGGTACAGAATTTTCCTTGTGCATTCAAGTCGATTTTTTTGATGAACTGCAAAAAATTGAAACATCTCTTTTTTTTTTTTTCTTTTTCCCTAGAAAAGAGCAAAAGGCCAAGTGCTCTTTGACAAAGTGTGTGAACATCTCAATTTACTGGAAAAGGACTACTTTGGGCTGTTGTTTTATGAAAATTCAGAACAGAAGGTAAGCCTGTATGAGAGTTTTGTTTCTTTGTTTTTCTACATTGCTACTGACTTCAATAGTTTAGTGAGGTGTGTTGTATTAAATGTATACCATTACAAACATTTGAGTAAACTGTTGCAAAATATTGATTCTAGTCTGCTGTAAACTTGCAATGCATGCAAGATACTGATGTGTATGTTGTTACTGAACAAAGTGCCCATTTATTATTTAGAGTAGGGGAATATTTAAATTATCTACATTTTTGGGAAAACTAATTGAGTAATTGCTAGGCTTTATAGTAAAGCAGTAAAATAGTGTAGTAAAACAGTATGCCATCCCTGCGAGTGAAGATAGGAAACTAACTAATATATTTGCCTTAACAGTCTGGCAACTCCCCAAATTTCTGAAAACTTTATTTTTTTTTTAAAACAAGCAAACAAAAATTTGGATGATAAATAATAATAAAAATTAATCTTCTACCTGACTTTCCAATAAATTTGCTGCCTTTTCTCAAGTATGCTCAATAATGCTTTGAACAGGAGCATGAAGGAAGTCTTGTCCCTAAGTCTGTAACTATTAGGTCATTGAGTTCCTTTTTTATTCATTTTAATCTGAAAGAAAATTTTGGCATTTGTAAAGATGAGACTGGAGCTAGCCCATCACCAGTATTGGATGCTAATTTTACAAATGGATGGTGTTTTGATATGACTACATTCAAAAGGATCTCTTAAATACCGTTTGGTAACTTATTTTCAGTCTTATTTTGGGCTTGCTTACATGTTGGATGGTCACGCACATCTAAACTGCTGACCTGAGAAAAACCTTAAATCAATTGGTGGTATGCATTCCACTAATTACCAAAAGCCAATTTAGCTTTTCCCAGCATCTGAACACTTACAGTTACTTATGGGCTGGCTGTCGCTTTGTCCATGACCTAAAGATACACCTGCAATCATCTTTTCCCTCATAAAGAAAACAGATTAATGATTACAAATTGAAGTGGAAAAAATTGTATTTCTTTTTAATCTCTGTATTTATAGCAGGAAACATCATTACATGAGTATTATATTTAGTCTAGAAGCTTTTGTGCTTTTTTTCTGTTGTCTTTCTCAACCCACTGTTGCGTTTCAAATGAAGTCTAATTTAGTGGTCTGAATAAATCTGAATTTCTGACAACTTCCATTCAAATACAGTTTTTTTTCCTAGAGTTATTTGCTTTGCTGCAAGGCTTTCTGTGCAGCATTGAGCAAAATACTCAATCCTTCTGTATTAAAGATCCCTATAAATAAAAGGGGCTTGATGTACTTTTACTTGGATGTATTTTTGTTCTTGATTTGTAAACCATTTATAAAAATGAGAACTTCTTTGATGTAATGATGAAGAGCATCTCAGTTGATCTTCTGAGTAATATCATAATCTTAATTATTATTTGTTATTATCACATGTTCTCCCTTTATTTGTGCTATTCACTATTGAAAATCTATACTGTACACACACAGCAAAATAACATAAAGCAGCAGTCTGGTCTCTGGCAAGAGAGGAACGGTCTAATAGCAGAGCTGGAATCCTTGAACTATACCAGGAAATAGTGCGCTTGAGTAGATCCTAGGAGGTGGAGTAGGGAGCCTTTGGCTTTTGAAAGTAGAGCAGGAAAATCTGGATTGGTGTAGTGTTACAGGTTTTTTTCCTTTCTTTCTTTTCTTTTTTCTTTTTTAATGTGCTTCTGGTTGAACTAAGAGATTTCTTGGTATTCCTCACTCATGTGAATTGAGCAACAGAGTACCACACCTTAAAAAGAGCCCATCTGTTTTTTCATATGTCTTTATTTTTGGACATATTAAAAACTTGACTTGATATGAGCCTAGGCAACCTGATCTAATTCAAAGCTGGCTCTGCCTTGAATCACGGTTGGGCCACTTATCTCCAGAGGTCCCTTTCAGCCTGAATGAGTCCTTGAGCTCCCTATCCATTGACTATGGAGGTGCTACTGTAGCAATGCTCATAAATGAGGTATTTACATAAATTAAGTGAGAAATGTCTGGATAATGGGGCCCTTGTGGTTCAGTTATTTATATGCCCAGGCTAAGTCTAGCACTCTATTCAAAAGAAGAGTAGACTACTTGTCACCTGAATTATAGACAGCAGCAGGTTTTTATTTAAAAATTTCTGGAGAAATCTGGTCCAATTTGTTACAAAGACTAAAAAACCACAGTTGTTGGATTTTGTATTCTTCATACAATTAAGTTCTTAGTGTTATTTGGAGAAACTGAAACAGGAGTCTTCCCTAGCAGATTTGCATTTCCCACCCCCTACTTTCTATTGCAGGATTAAGCTTAATTTTTAGTGAACTGCAGGAATGACAAGATTTTGAATGCCAGTGAATAACAGTGAAGGAGGGGTTTATTTTAGGTATATCCTGGCTGGGTAGCTCATATGCTCTAGATATTGTACCCAAAGTGTGGGTATCATGTGGATGGTACTATGCCTCTGGTGCAGCTCTAAGCTGTGATTACCAGGTGAGTGGGAATACCCAGGTTGTCAAAGAAGAATTTGAAAATCTGGGCTTTGGCATCAACTAGTCACTTGGCTAAGCGCTTACAGTCTTTTATGGGTTGGACAGTCTGTACTGTAACATGTGCACATTTCTATCAGCTTGCTTATTTTTACTGCTATTGTCACTCAAGTTACCCAACTCAAAGCTACTGCTTCTGTACAACATCGTGTTTGGAAGTTCTTACACCAGTTATGGTATAAACATATCCTGATAATGTGAAGGGTAGCTACTGCAGTGTCTTAATACAGCAAAGTTACTGGTTGTGTGCTGAGAAAGTTCCCCCTCCCCAACTGCCATTTCTTTGAAGCTGGTAAGTTTGAAATTGTATAGCTATGCAGAATGTGCTTAGTAAGATTGTAGCACTCATTTTGTTATTAAAGTGATTTTTTTTAAATACATGGATGAAGACTGTTTAAATTGTTTTCAGTATGTTAAATTTTTTTTTAATGAAGGAGTCTGTCTTAGGACTTTTAAGTGTCTCAACTTTTTTTCATTCTTTTAAAAAAAGGGAAAAAAAATTAACACTTTACGTTTTAGTTAGTAGATGGAAGTATAGGGTCCTGATCAATTGTGTTCAGCAATAGCTGCCAAAGAAAGCTTGGGGACTTGGCAATTTTACTGGTTTTAGGGCCTTCTTTTGTTCACCTCTGTAGTAAGTTTGAATTCTTTTTTCATCTCAGTACCAGTTCTTACTGACACGTTTTTTTTTCTCCTGTTATGACTGTTGCCTCTTCAGATTAAAATGCCAGAAATCTCTGACCCTCCAGTCCAGTCAGTACTAAATGCTGAATGATGTGGTTTTCTCATTCTTGTGCACTCATCATAGCCACCCATTTATGAGCCAGCTGTTGAACTCGGCGGCAGCTGTGGGGTGTGCAAAGTGAATGCCAGGCACTCTTTTGAATCAGAGCTGCTCCCTAATGCACCGTCGGGGTACCATTGGAGGAGGAGTCCCATTAACTTTTCTCTATGGGTGTTCTGTGCAGCTGGGAGAGATGTTATGTCTTCAAATCAGACTGATTTTTTCTTAGCTTTAATACACATTTTAAAACTATTTAGGTCATATTACTCATTTCTGATTTCTTTCATTGTTTTGCAAATGTTAAATTTATTGGTCTAAAGTTTAGTTAGTGATTTCATTGCATTACACCCTCAAAAGTTCATGAATGCTCCATTCACGCTGTAATTGGTCTGCAGAAGTGTTAGAAAGCTTCTGCTCTTATGTTCTGGGCACCAGCTGGAAATGCTGCTTTTCTGGATTCATACAAAATACTTTTGTACTGGTAGAGAACATTTTGTTGTTCTTTGACAATTCGTTACTTTGTCTCATCTATAACCTTACCATTCACAAATTAAACAAATGGATTTCTGCCTACTGGAGCAAAGTAGTGTGTGTACACTTTGTCTTTTGTTTTGGAAGACAGACCTGTCTATGCTGCATTAGGAGGTTTATTTCAGGGTATATTCTTTCAATAGTGTTTGTTTTATCCATAACAAAAGGCACAGATGCAAAAAAACCCCACCTCTGCATTTATGCATATAAATGGAATATAATCATCTGATTTTATTTGACAGAACAGTAATGGAAGTTGGTGGCAAAATCTGCTTCCAATAAGCTTACTCCAGGTCTGGAAAAATCAGAAAATGTAGAACTTCTGTAAAGAAAGAATTATTCTTCTAATTTTGCAGGATATTCTGTATTGTGCGTTCTTTTCTCTTACTTTATAGTAATAAAAGATAAAGCACTGAAAGTAACATATACTCAGGAATCCCAATTTTCTGCTGTAGTTATGTCATGCTATATTCTACACTTATTTACTTTATCCTGTATCTAGAATTTAGGAGTTTAAGCTACTTCTAGTTACCTTTGTAACTGGAAGAATATGGCTGTATATCATTTCAGAATGGAATTCATACCAAAACTGAAACCTAGGATGATAACTGTAGCTGAAGTGAGTCTCAGCTAAAATTATTTGAAGACTTCTGTTGTCTTCCAAGGCCTTTCCATGTCAAGGCGCTTCCGACAGATAGCAGTTTTTCTGACTTAAGCAGAATAAATGGTATCCAGATTTTTTTGAGGAGTGTGTTATATCTCTTCCTTTGTAACAATGTTATGGACTCTGCATCTCTGGAAGAGTTATAGTAGCTATGAAATGTAGAGGTCGCAGACTTTTTAAAGCAAGAAATGTGAAATTATTCTTTCTTTTTAATTACATCCGTAAAAATGAGAAAAAGTTTTTTTTGCACTGTTGACAAATTAAATGCAAAAAAAACTTGAAATTATTTTTACGGATGTAATTAAAAAGAAAGAATGAGAAAAAGGTTTTTTTGCATTTAATTTGTCAACAGTATTTGTCTAATATATATATGCTGCATTTGTGATGAAATCAACTTGGACCAAGGTCATTTACAACAGGGAACTTAGTATTTTGGGTCATATTCATAGAAACCACATCCTTTATCAGTAGAGGTGATCTACATTAAGGATTTGTACTAGTGCAAAAACATACAGTTCTACATTCTCCTAATCCATACAAACCCATAAAACCGAAGCCTAGCATGTTTTGTCTCCTTGAAATAAATTTGACTTTGGGTAGAAAAGCCTGCAGTAAAGACTGAGGGATATGGTATTGGAAAATAATTATTGCATCTAGAGTTTGGTACCATAGACTGAAAGGTGAGTTGCCTTACACTCAGTATCCACTACTTGGCTAGGTTAGGCAAGAATGGTAGAGATATGCCTTTAGCGATATTTATGCTGGTACCGAGGTCCCCTCTGACTTTAAAGCGGCTAATATGTGCAGTGGTTTGTGGAAATGCTAATGTTGTCCTTGACCTTGCAAGTCAGTTGCTAATTCTTCCCTGCTTTGCACATCTCTGTCTTTGAAATGTGCTAAGTCCTGCTGGCAGGCCGGTTGTGTGTATGTGTGTTTCTTCCATGCCTATGCTTGTGTATGTGTCTGGCTGTGGGAAATAGCGGTTCAAACACTGTGTAAAGTGAATTCTCAGTAGCTGCAGTTAAAAGGCTTATGTTTCTAGTCTCTCACTTAATCTATTTTCTAACATCTAGGGTAAAATTAGTAAACAGGATTGTCTGAGTTACTGATGAATATACGTTACTGATTTCTTAGGCTTCACTTGCTAAATTTACATTTTTGGATGATCAGTCACAAAAAAGTCTCTTTGCACCTATCAATAGTAACTGAAATGCTATGAATTATTTAATAAATTGCAGAGATTATATCAAAATATTTTTGGTATTGAGCATAGAACACATTTAATAGTGAGGTATCTAAATATGAATAACTGACTATTTGCATTACCTAAAATAGAGCTGAGAATCCAGATTTGAACCTTGCCAGTGTATCAGTGCTAACATAATACATGTTCATAGAGATCTCTGCTTTGGGGCAAGTCAGAAAAAAAGCGTGAAATTTGATTAGGTTTTCCAAGCACCTTTGGATGTTATCAGAACTAAAATGTATACGCCTTAAGACAAACAATGGGAATAGTAAGTCTCTGGAGTTGAAGAGAAATATCGTCTTAAGTAACTTTATATGGGTGTGTAAGCACAGACATGTAGAGATTACATAGCCATTCCTGAAAAGTCTACTTATGTCAATAAGAGGAGTATGAGAGAAAATTGCATTTGTCAAATGTAATTTGCTAGAGCACCTCCACTGTAAGACTATCCACTTTTTAAAATTACAGAGTATAAATAGTCTAAAGCAATAAGACAGCTATGAAGAGAGTAGCATTACACAGTTTCATTTATGTGCATGGGTGGGGAGACTTGCTAGCAAATCACAAGTCAATTTTGGAATTCCCTGGGTTATTTTAAAATAGAACAGATGTCTGAACAATACAAACTTTAACTGCACTGTATGAAATTACTTCACCATCCTCAGTCTGAAGTGATTTTAAATGCTGGTTGTGGGTTGTGTGTTTTTTTTCCAGAACTGGCTAGATTCTTCGAAGGAAATTAAGAGACAAATTCGAAGTAAGTACTTTTATATTCAGATGTTATGTTCCTTTTATTTCCTCACAGAAATATTCTTCATAAACTTAGTAGTCTGGATGTTGACTAAATTGTGTACTTACAGCATTAAAATAATTTATATCTTATAATGATGTATTCAGCCTTAGAACAGAAAACAAACCTTCTATTTCTGTCCACGGTCCAAGAAGGAGAGAAAGAATCACTCAGCCTTGTGCTGTAGAAGTTAAGTATTATACTAGCTGCTGCCCCAAAATTTTCCTGCGTTGTATGTGACTAATAGTTCTTTTTGCATCCTGCAACAGTAGGTGTTTTTCAATTTTGTGCTGATATTTGGGTTATGGGATGGAGAATGTCAGCTTGCAAAGATGGTCACGGTTGTTGCTATAGGACTTTCTAACTTCAAAGACTCACCAGAAGAATATGAAACTACAAAAAGAGCATCGATATGTCTTACAGAAAATGTATATTCTTCGATACTGATCAGTCTAGCATTGGCTTTTTTGATGCGTCTATCATTTCCAGAATGGAAATGGAATAGAGAGCATAATCTTGGAAGGTCTTGCTACAATGCTTTTCAGACTGAATCCATGTGAAAACTCTTTCTACTTTGTATACTCAATACACAATGAAAAATTTATTTTACTTTGCATAAAACTCTGTCAAAACTCTTCACTAGCCAGGTAGCTTTTGTAGTAGATCGGGGAGTGAATGGACAGTAAAATTAGGAGATACACTTCCTGAGTCTACATGTTGCAAAATAAGTAGCCACTAAAAAGTGCTAGACAGCCCTTGCCCTTACTGATATTCTTCTCATTGCTTTACTCATTTGTGGACAATGCAGGGGTTTTTTATTGTTTTGGTTCTAGTGGAAACCTTCTTTTGGTAGTGCCTGATAAGAAATGTAAGTGGGGACGAGATGATGACGAGAATAAGATTTACATGTCTACACTTCCAACACAACAAGAATTTAAGAAACTGACTGCACTTGCAATTAAGCACAGCAGTGTGTTATTTACAATGATAAACAGGTGGTTTCTTTGCTATTGTTAACTCTTCCAGTTTTAGGGCAACACTCACGTTTTTCCAGAAATCATAGTGGTGTTAATTCTGTTTTCTTTAGACCTTTCCCAGCTGATGAAATCCCTTACTAGGGAGGTGTGGTTTATATTTTCAGTAAAGAAAAGAAAGTTACAGAAGCTTCCCTGGAAACTGTGGGTTTTTTTATCTAACATGGTCTTGTATAAGAAAACTAGACCTATTAAAATGCAAATAGAGGCCATCCTTTTAATTAAGGAAAAGTTACTGGTATTGTAAGTTCTTATTCTGTAGGTCTTCAGTAAAAACCTGTTAGTTGTCCAAATATATGAGCTAAAGGCTGTTTTGTTTGGTTCTAATATTTGACAAAACATTGAGGACATTATACTTTTTGTTATTGCCTTCTGTAGTGATCTGCATGCTATATAGCCTACAAGTGTCACTAATCTGAAATGTAAGAACTGACAAAATACGAACCCTGTAGTCTCCCCCAAGTTACGTTCTGCATCAGGCTGTTTCTTGCTAAGTCAGGTCTTCAGGCCTTCTGTATGATCTCTTATTTGTTCAGGTTGGCATTTCATTGGGCAATTATGTTGGATCTCAGCAATTACTGATGTTACTTAGGCTAATGAATGTGATCCACAAATTATTGGCTCTGCTCTCAGGGCTACAAAGGTAGCAAAAAGCTTGTTTGCTTTCAGCCAGCCTGATCTCTTCAGGAAAATTAAGTCTTGACTTTTTTTTTTAACTCACGTAATTGGATATCCACTGACATGTGTTAAAACCTCTAATTAAGTCAATCAGGGACATGTTGGGTAATGACAGTTCTGTCACTATCTTTCTGAAAATTGCTACATCTAAAGTGGATTCAGGCTTTTGCAAAATCAAGAACTTCAGCTTGAATATTGTGATGATACAAGCAGTAGCAACTGACCTTGGAATAGTCAAATCCCAGATTTCACAGAGGGTGTGAAGGTTCACCCTTATATAAAATTTAATTTGAGAATTTATCTGTGTGACATGTTGTACATTCATTTGTATAGAACACGTGATATTCCACTCAGTTTTGTCTATAGGTATTTTCATAACTCTTATTCTCAGTGTAATAGAATTGAATGAGTAAACTACATTAACCTATTCTTATCATATTGATGCAATTGAAGATCAATCTTTTGTCTGCAAATTAAATGTTCACAGTTATGGGTAAAGATTAGAGATGTGAATGTATAAACCATCTGTTTTGGGAAGCTTAATTATTTGCTTTTATTGTTTGTGTAATTAAAGTGTATGAAACTAAGTTATAGACCTGGTTGTCTTTCTCTTCACACAAATTTTGAAACTATTTTGTGATATGTCCTGTTTTTAGTGTGGATGTAATTTATTCTTTTCCAAATGGAAATTAGATTTGTATGCTATGTGGAATAGTTTAAATCCAAGGCAATGTTATGTCAATTAAATCTATTGCTAATCTGCGGCATGATTAGTATTTTTATTACAAAAATTACTTCTATATTGCATACCCTGTGTTGTGTATCTTATAAGAAATGGAGATGATTTGGGTGTTCTGAGGGAAGAATAGACTGGTATGGGTTTTTTTGGTGCATTCTCACCTGATAAAGGATGCATTTAACTGTGTGTGCTCTTGAAGTTAACTGTAAAATTGTCTGTCTTTTGTCAAGAGAATACTTATTTAGCCAGAAGGATTTCAGAAACTCGTCACTGTACCCAGGATATGACTAATCTGATCTGATTTAGGTTAACTGTGTCCACCTTAAGGTAAATGCACTTGTTTTTTGAAAGAACAGGCACTTTATTTCATAGGAGCTGGGTGAGTGCATTCTGAAATGGGTGCCTGAGAGGGGAACCAAACCAAATACCGCTTTTTTCCACTGGCTATGAAGGGAGCCACTGGTGGCTTATGTATATAATGACATCGCCATAGTCTAGGGTTGAAAGAGGCTATGTCTACTAGCATCAAAAGAGATAACAGTTATGGTGATAGAGCAGTTGTTTTCTTTTTAGAAAGAAGTAATTAACTGAAGGACTGAAGACAGAAAACTTAATTTGCTTGTTACTTGACCTAGTTTAATTATTGAGGTGTGAGGGAAATTCTATGTAATTCTATGGAGGTAGGTTAGAACAGATGAAATAGTACAATAGGTAAGGCAGCTGGTGACAAATCTTGGGCTATAAGTTTAAACCTTTCTCTTTATTCATGCTGAAGGCTGCTTTCAACATCCTTTTGTTAATGGGCATCCAGTCATGCAGACTGGGGAACTTAAAAACAGCCAAATGCAATACTGGCCTAGTTTTTGAGACACTTAGCCAACAATTAAGGTAGTTCTGGGAATGTCCTGGAGCTGAAATGGATTTTTTTACATTCTTGGTTCTATGATATATTCTGCAACACAGCTTAAACAACTGCTTAGGAAAGAGGATGATATAGAAGAATAAGGATATGGTTAAATACGTATATTTTCAAATTATGCAGCAGACCAAATGGTGATAAATTAATAAATTCAGTTCTGTAAGAATAATATACCAGGAGTGTAGAATTTTGCAGTGTTCTAAAATATCTAAGAAATCAAAAGTTTGCATTTAAATTGCTAAAGGAAGTTAAAATTAATTAGGGAAAGGGCTTGCAATTTAAATGTACAGCTCTGGCTGTCTGTTTTTAATGCTAACAAAACATATGGTTATGCTCAGGTATCAAAATATGGCGGTCACTTTATGGAGTCTCTTTATTTTATATCCATCTATTTTATGTAAATAACTATATATCTGTAAAAGTTGTAGCTAGCTTTGATCTAAGCTAATTACACTAGAGTCTAGCTTAATTGCTGAGGAGAACCTAGCACCTGTGCCAAGGGAAGAGTTGTCCTGCAGAAGTGCATCTGTATGTCTACTAATTATAAAGAATGATCCTGCACTTTGGAGATATCTGAGTTTGTGAACTGAATCTTGTCAGTCCAACCAGGACTGTCTGTACTCTGCTTTTTATGCATTTTTGAAAATGTGGACTGGATATAGATCTTTGTTACTTCTTTGTTTTTCTTGATAGTAATTTAAGAAAAATTATAGAAGTAATTTTCTAAATCTTATGTGGCGTTTTTACATCTACCTGTGAGTAGCGTATCTGCCCTAGTCACGTAGTACCCTAAAAATCATAGCTGAGACACAAGAGATACCATAAGTAAAAGCCAGAAAAAACCTTTACTGGAAAAAAACCCTCACTGATTTCCCAGTTTAAATGGGATGAATCATGCTAATTGTATGCTGCTAGCTGGTTGGTTATATTGCATTCTTTTTCTCTAAGAATGTGCCTAAAGTTGCCACATAAGCATTTTTGAGGTAACAAGCGGACTAGAAAAATTTTTGACATTTCTATAGCCCATATTACTAAACATCAAAACAGAGAGCCTTATTACAGACAGAATGCTAAATATCATTTTAAATATCAAATTTATTTATTTCTTTTGTCTTGGCCACCAATGCAAAGCACCAGTAATAATGTGCATTATTGTGTGAAGACAATTACGTTTGTATGCCTCTGTTATGGGGCTATAAACAGTATGCTGTAGTAAGAAGTATAAATATAGACTGTGCACATTGTAATATACTTGCTAGTCTATATTCAGGGGATAAATGTGCTTTCAGTAATCAGGCAAAATATAAGGTCACCAACTGTCCAGAAAATATTTAGTACAAAGTCAACTACAACATTTTTTCAATGGATTAGCTATGGAATTAGTATGAGCAGACGTCTGAATTTTTTCACATAATCTATACATTCAGAGGATTTACGGTCTTTTTATCTTTTTGTAAAGAATATAGTTTGTTTGTGGTGTTGTGTGTTGTTTTTTTTTTTTTTTTCTTCCAATGGTGTCTAGGTCTCCTAGTGCTTTCTGAAAGCTAACTGTAGAAACGCTGATAAGAAAGATAAATAGGTTAAGCAGGAATTCATCTGTGACTAGATTAACTGCAATTTTAGACCAGGAAAAATTGTGTCATATCAGGAAATGTTGCTTCATTCCAGGAAATCTTGAAGACTGGTTTAGTAGCTGTGTGGAAGGACACATCCTTCATCCATCTCTCCCCATCCCACAGGCCTGCTAACATGACAACAGTCCCTGAAGACTTGTGCATAGATATTTTGGCCCAATTGCTTCTCTTCATCAGTTTGGCTTACTGCAGCTTTTCATTAAGTGATGCTAATTCCCTGGGAGATAAATGATGGAAGTGGGCTAATCTATTCCAGCTTTAATTCTGTTTGTCATGCTATATGTATTAATTAGCATTAGACATTTTTTAAAAAGGTATTTTTGTCTTAATTCTGTCTCGCACTGGATTGTGGTAAATGATGCAATGAAAAATATTTTACTCCATTCAGTCTATATGTATGTGATAAATTCGACTTTCTCATTTAAGGAGTCCTGCCTTATGTTGTAAGCAAAGCTATCATTCTAACAAATAATTGATAACTGAGAACATTAAGATATGCTAAAATCCTCAGCTCTCAGATGGAAATAGTGACTTAGCAGCTAGGTAGAGAATGAGGTTCACACTTAAGCAGAAATTTACGTGCTCCAATGAATAGCCATGCCTGAAAAACTGAAATAATTATTGAAATGTTGAAAGACATTAGAAATTTTGACATAAAGCACCTCTTCACCTTTAACAATGGTGAAATTTTAAAACAGGATTTTTTAAAGAAAATAACCTTAAACAAAAATGTCAGCACTCCTTTCTAGCATTATGTAGCAAATGGCAGGTTAGTCTTTTTGTTGTGGTGGTTAAAATACACATTTTTCAAAGCCATAGGCAGGGACACCTTCCACCAGACCAGGTTGCTCAAAGCCCCATCCAACCTGGCCTTGAACACTTCCAGGGATGGGGCATCCTCAGCTGCTCTGGGTAACCTGTGCCACTGCCTCACCACCCTCAGCATGAAGAATTTCTTCCTGATATCTAGTCTAAACCTTCCCTCTTCCAGTTTAAAGCCATTGCCCCTTGTCCTATCCCTCCATGCCCTTGTCAAAAGTCCCTCCCCAGCTTTCTTGTAGGCCCCTTTTAGGTACTGGAAGGCTGCTCTAAGGTGTATATGAGAGATCCTTCTTTTCTCCAGGCTGAACAACCCCAACTCTCTCAGCCTGTCTTCATAGGAGAGGTGCTCCAGCCCTCACGTCATCTTTGTGGCCCCCCTCTGGATTTCTTTTCTTATCTTTCTTCATCATTTTTAGCAGATCTACATTGTAGTGTTACTTTCTTTATGTTTGGCAAGATATGATAAAGCTCAACTGCATTTGCTTTCAAGCAGCAAGCAAAACCAAACTATTAAATTCTTTTCCTAGACTCCTGTTTTGTGATTTTCTATTACATAAGTATGTCTGCATTGTAGTTAATAAAATTTGTTTGAATTAGTAAAGTTCTATATTTTGTCAAGTTATTAGTACTTCCCAATGAACACATTCCTGTTGCACATAGTGTTACAGTACTGGTAGAGTAACATTCTAAAAATGTATTTTAATTATTGATGAGGGACTTCAGCCTTCAAATCTTAAAAATTTATTTAAAACTAGAGCTGTGACTAAAGGCAACATTTTATGCTTTGTCAAGTTATTAATCTAGTTTTAAGCATGCTTTTGCTTAAAAAATGCATGTAATATTAACAATTCTAACACATGAGAATTTAAACTTAAAATATCTTTGCTATTATAGTTGCTAAAGGTATTGTTTCTCAAAAATACTTTAAAGGAGGAATGGGTAACATTTTTTTGTCTTCCATGCATTCTGTATGAATATTAATAATTTACTTATTATCTTTCTGTTGTATACAATGCTGACCTCATTTTGACATCTGGGAATTCTGACATCTCATGTTCATAGTCATTGTACAGTCTCTGAAACTAACAGCGAATTTAAACAGGAGGAGACTTAGCCTTGGAGGAGTTGGAAATAAACACAAATTCAGTGCAAGTGTCTTTGAACACAGAATATCTTAAAAGTGTTAATATATTAATGGTAGTTTTCAAATTAAAAACATCTTCTGATATTTACATAACTTACTGTAAAACATTCTTTAAAAATAATTTTTAACATGCTAATCTTTCACTGTATGTGTATATAACTTACTACCTGATAATGAAAACAATCTATGCTTCTTACTAATATACTGTAAAAAGAAGGAAAAAAATCTTCAAGATTTCAGTGATCTAAGATTTATATGACTGTGTAATATTTTTCAGTAAGGTTCTTTCTTTGCTTGCTTCGACTTGTTTGAGATTAACAATCGGACATTTCCCATGTTTAGGTTTACCTTGGATATTCACCTTTAATGTGAAGTTTTATCCCCCTGATCCTTCACAGTTGACTGAAGACATCACTAGGTATGCATAGTTCCTAATTTTAAACTTAAAAATTACTGCTGGTCTAATTTGAAGGCCATACAAAATTTCTTCTTCAGTTTCTGGATGCCATAACAAATTTGGCTATTACTGTAGAACACTATAGATGTTCACATCAACTGCTTTTTGGAACAAAGTTGAAAAGGCAGAGTGAAAACTTCAGGAAGAAATGTGAGAAAGAAGAATTTAATAAGTAGGGATATGATTTGAGTGGGAGGTAAGATGTGAATGATCATATTTGAAAGAAGCCAGTGGTTTATTGTCAGGCTGCTGCTTTATTATATAGCAAATGAGGATGTGGGGTTATTGATACTAAGATTGAAGCTCAAGGGATCGAAGGTACTTCAGTAGTAACCTAGGGTAGGTTGGTGAGAATGTAGTTTTATACATATGCATTAAATAAAATAATAAAACATAATAAAACCAGAGAATAATTATCTTCCAAAGTTCTTACATAGAAAATACTTAGAATGCAGTGGATACTGGGCACCTAATAAACAGCATTGCTAGACTAACAAAACCAGTGGGTAGAATGCAGGGAATTGATACTTGTTTTTTCAGGAGTTATGTAAAACTTAAACACTTAGTTTTGGTTTGGAGTTAGCTGAGTCTGCTGAGGCAGGATATATGTTACTACACAGCATGACATCGGATCAGTCTTCTGCACAGCATAACCTAGCTATGCAAGTGTGTAGCTGATATATTACTGAAAATAGTCTAAGACATTTAGTACGCAGTGCATTTAAAAGAAGCTGTCTGTTTTCTTTGAAAGTTTTCAGCGAGTTGGCTGGCTTTTCAATTGCATGTTCAACTGAGAAAAGCATTTTAATGGTTATAGCTTAAAGCTAAATTCCTTAAAATTTAAACTTCACTTGTGAAATTTTTTTTTAATTTACATTAAAAATATGTGCTAGGGTAGGATGTCTACTGATTGTTAACTTGTTAAATTTGGTAGAAGAATGTATGCAGTACCTGAAATATTACATACTAATACGGACGTGGTTTAAGGAAGGCAATTATGGGCTCAGTACTAAACCAGATTTCTTTTGTGTATTACATGACTTGATTAGTTGGTGAACTGCAAGGGATATAAAAGTTAGAATTTTAAAGCCAAAGGGAACGTCAAGGGAAATGCATGGGTTTTTATTTGTAAACCTTAGATACCTGCAGGCTACAATGTGAAATGAAGGAGTGCCTAAGTCAGCTTTTGCTAGAAACTAGATACAGTTTTTTCATTCATTTATATTGGAAATCAGAATTTTCCCTGCTTTTTACATCACTTATGAAAGTAATATTGACTCTTGAAAATGGAAGTGAAATTTACTGTGTGGCAATAATGCTGAAATAATGTAAGGTGTAATAAATTATTAACGCGTTGACTTATTTTAAAATATGCTTATATGATTACATGCATCTCAATAAATTCTGCCATATCTCTCAAACTTGTCATTGGTAACACTTCCTCTCTTCTTGGTTTTGTTTGTTTTTCCCCTTTCCTTTGTCATGCAGGTATTTCTTGTGCCTACAGCTTCGTCAGGATATTGCTTCTGGTCGACTGCCATGTTCTTTTGTGACTCACGCCCTCCTTGGTTCATATACACTGCAGGCTGAGCTGGGTGATCATGACCCAGAGGAGCACCGCAGTGACTATATCAGAGAATTTCAATTTGCACCCAATCAAACTCAAGAAATGGAAGAGAAAGTAGCTGAGCTGCACAAAACACACAGGTGTGTCAGATACAGTGGGATTAAATGAAATCATCATGCTTTATCATGTTTATGTCAAATCTCTTAAGAGCATGTGTAAAACTGCTAGGCTGAAGTTATTGTTACTTTGGAAATCTTTTGCTATGTAACTGGAACCTCTAACTTTCATGTGTTTAAAAATTTTAGTTTGAAAATAGTACCTTCACTAAGATCTCAGATGAGAACTTTTGGAGAAAATATTTTTATCTGAGCATATGAATTAGTTTGAGCAACATACAGCTAGAATGTTTTGCAAGATTGAAGGTGGAAATCTCTACTAAATGACTATAATATGCTCTGAAAGAACCTTTAGGACAAAAATGCTATTGATACCTTACAAACTGAGGTTTTTCTATATGTCTGAATTCCAGAATTCCACTCAGTTTTGATTCTTGGTTCTTTTGTCAATAAACTCAAGGCTTATTCAATCGTTTTAGGGGCTTGACTCCAGCACAGGCGGATTCCCAGTTCCTAGAAAATGCTAAGAGACTCTCCATGTATGGAGTGGATTTACATCATGCCAAGGTATTGGGGATTGGTTTGGTTTGGTGTTATTTTAGGATAGACATGCTTAGTATTAAAGAACATAGTATATTTATTTTTAAAATGTCATACCCTCAGTTCTTAGGTATAAGCCTTTTATCTCTTGGTCACAATAGCTACTCAGTTTACAGCTATAACATCCTTAGAATTTATTTTAAATCTAAGTACATTTGATGCATAGACATCTATACAGCTTGGAAATAATATTTTATTTGTAAGAGTGGCTAAATACATTTTAAATGTCAGATTTTTTTGATGCCAAGGAGACGTGGGGCCATAAAGTAAAGCCTAAAAGAACACGTCATTGTTTTTGTAATACCATGAGAGTTAAAAACAGAGGGGAGGGGGGGTCTGAGGGAGGGTGTATTTTGGTGCTTTTTCCACTCTTCTTGGTAAGTCAAGTCAAATTTGCATTTCTAGTGGTATTTTTTTAGTTAAAAACCCAACAAACCAACTAACCAACCCCCTCCCACTCCCTCGCACAAATCCAGAGTCTCAAATCATTAGGAAAATTAATGCATTGTAAGCATATCAGTCCTATATTTAAAAAAGAAAACCAGGACTTTTAAGTACTGGAGAAACATTGTTTAATTCTGTTTCATATGGAAACAATGTGCACTTGTTTTTGCAATTTTCCATAGACTTTCCTGTGTTCTGTTAGAAAAATATAATTAAATTTTTATTCACATACATTAACTATGTCTGTAACACTTATTCATTTTTTAATACAAGTGCAGCATGGCAGTTCACTTGGTCTGTCTTAGATTTTCAGAGTTTTAATGGAGCTTTCTTTTGCCGTAGTGAAGTAACTGCAAGCATTAGAACTGCTATTTGCCAGGATCTGCTTGCAGCTGTTAGCTATGCCAGTGAAGCAACTTTTTAATGACAGTGTTGGCATTTGATGTAGTTGATTTCTTGTTGGGCAGGACATGAGATTCTGCTGTATTGTGTAGTGACACAGTGTATTGAAGACTTATCAGTGAGTGATTAGTTTTGTAGCCTGTAAAATTTGCATCAAACTCTGTCAGTGGAACAGAATGCTCAGAAACCCAGCCCACTAGCACTTTGAAATCATTATGTTGACATTTTCAGCCAACTATCCGTTACTTCCTATATCTTTACTGGAATAGTAGATGACTGTAAAAGATTACCATGATCACGAACTTGTTCAGACTTTCACTGACTGTGTGAAGTTGGAAAGGCCTGCTTTTCATTTTTCTTCTTTTAATATTTGTTGAAATTATTGGTAGCACACCCACCATATCTTTCCTTGCTTTTAAGTTGTTGACTTCTTCAGTATTCTGGCAATAGGGAATAATTTCCCAGAACTGTGGCATATGCAATGGCATATGAGTGCCAAAGCCATTACTTAAGAGTCCAAAGCCTTTTCTATAAAATTAATATACTTGGCTATTTCTACTTTAAGAATCTCATTATCAGGGTCTTTCAGGTTTGAATATGAAACAAGTCCCAGTTGCATTATTGCCTCAAGGTATGCCAGCAATAATTACTTGTTTGGAATGTTATTAAACTGATTTTTATTAAATTGTCTCATACATGATAGGATTCTGAAGGTGTGGATATCATGCTGGGTGTATGTGCTAATGGACTGCTCATTTACAAAGACAGACTCCGGATCAACCGCTTCGCTTGGCCAAAAATTCTGAAGATTTCCTATAAGCGAAGTAATTTCTACATCAAAGTCAGGCCAGCAGAAGTAAGTAGCAGCCTTCTGTCTTGTCTCTTTTGTGAGATCATTTCTATCCAGCAACAGGAAAACATCCTCATTTTTATCCCAGATGTCCTCACAGCCTTATGTTGGATTTGAGCAGAACTTAAGAGCATTTTATTCTTCTCTTCAGATTCTACTGATTGTGTTAAACACTTGTCTTGATTAGTAAATGCAAACCAAGAAGAAAATCTATTTTTCTTTTGTTAATAGATGCCATCTTGTAATTTTATTTTTCTTTTTACAGGGGAAACTAGTTACACTGGTCATGTTCTTACTGTCTATACAAACTTGCAGTCCTGGGAGAGAGGCAGCTTCTTTGGGTATAATTGTTGACTAAACGTCAACGCTTCTAGTTTATGGCTGTAACTGAAGGCTTGAGTTGTCCTGTAGGACATTACAACTCTTTCTGTTAGCTGCTGTGGAAATAGCGGATTCGGCTTTCTTTTCAGATACCATTATAAGTTTGTGGGAGTTGCAGAAGGAGGGGGGGGTTACATTTTGAACACATTGTAACTGGAAATTTAACAAAATAATGTTAAACACTGTAATGCTTTTTTAGATTATACGCTAAAATGTTTAAGATACCTTTCACAGTGAATAAGTAAAACAAAAGAGAAGTCTAAATACCAGTAGTACAATACTAACATTATAGTTTTGTAAGTTTTGGAACACAGATGTGTTGTTCTTGTGCTCACTGATGGTGCACAGATCTAATATTTTTGCTAAGAAACTATTATATAGTGAAACGGATCAGGTAAGCTTAACACTGCAGTACAGATTTCAGACTTTTATTAAATCTAAGGGAAGTCTGCAGTACAACCTGCAGTACAATTACTTCATGCAGTTTAAAAATAAATACATTGGGCAGCTAGTCAGAAAATCAGCAAGGAACACTGAACTATTACTGGATTTCTCAAAAGAGTCATTAGTACAGATAGGAAGTGATAATGTAATTATTACCCATCATGACTAGCTCACCAAGTATAATTTTATTAAAAGGTTGGAAATTCTCCTTTTTTTTTTTTTTTTTTTTTTAATCTTGTGAAGTCTTATGACAGGAGAATTACAGCTTGTTACAGTAATGGAACTATCTGAACTCTGCCTGCTAGTTAATAGCCAGCTTAAGGAAATGGGCTAATTTATTTGTGGATTCTTTCCAGCTGGAACAGTTTGAGAGCACTATTGGATTCAAACTGCCAAACCATCGGGCTGCTAAAAGGTTATGGAAGGTTTGTGTGGAGCACCATACTTTCTTCAGGTAAATCGTAATGCTCTGCTTCCCCCACTTTGCCAGGTATGCTGATATCCTTCTTTTAAAGGGTATGAGGAAGGTAGAGAAGATTTCCCCCCTCTTTGCCCCTAATTTCTCAGTCCGGTAACATCTCTTAGACAGAAGACACCCTAATAATCATTGACTCCAAATTACCAATTCTGAAAGTCTCAAGTACAATTAACTGCTTTATTTAAAGTTTCAGAGTGCTAACAGGATGGAACTAAACTAGTGATCACACGTAAGACCTCCTGAGAGATTGACTCTTCAGAGTGACCATCTAGAAGGCCACTGTACACCTTCACAAGAAACTCTCAGGGCTTGACAGTGATCTTCATTCACTTCACTTTTCAGAATATTCTGCTGAGTGTGAATGCTTACATCCTGAATTTTTCCTTATCTATAAACTGGGCTGAGTTCACAGTCATTCTTTAAAGAACAGAGAATCACTTTAAAAACAGACTACTGTTTGTTTATTGAATAATCCATACCTTTCTCTGCATTTTCTCCCCAGCATCTGATAAACATAAAATCCTGAATTGGTCATTGAAACTATGGTCTATTTCAAAATGAGCACTTCAGCAATAGGCCACAGAGTTGTTTCTCTTTCTACTTCTTCCATTGAAAAGTAATTTGAAAAATCTTAATTTGATTTTTATAATAACACAAACACCATGAGGGAGTGCATGTGCCCCCTGCAGCCTAGGAGTCACAGATTTAGGCTGAATTTCTTATGCATTGAATAGGCATTGAATCTGAGTTTCTTGCTTCAAATGAACACAGTAACTAGGGTATGTAAAAGGTAAGCTTTCTCCTTCAGTAGCCTGTTTTTTATTTAAAAAAAATAATTGTGTTTTAAGGTAGATGCAATGCTGTTGCTGAATACTAGTCTAAGCTTGATAGACTGAGACCTTCAGCAAACTTCAGGACCATGAGACCTACGCAGTTCGTTACTGGTACTGTCTCACTGGATGGTTTCAGTATTCAGATTTTTATTGAATGTAGAATATTCTTGAATGCAATCTTAGAATTTGTGCTGAGATTGGCAATCAGTCTCAAAATGCTTTATTTGGAAGCACTTATTTTTGAAATCCTGATCAAAGGCGTTTGGTTTGATAGAATTCATTAGTTACATTTATTAAGATACATAGTCCACCATTCTGTTCTTCTTTAAAATTTGAAGTCTTCTTTGGCTGGTGATGTCCATTACCACAAATAGCATGAAGTTCTGTCTGCAATGAAAATTTTATCAACACTCTTCAAATAACTCATGCAGTGATTTGCTTTTCTGGGAAACTGTATTTCCTAATTTTATAGAAATAAAGTGCACCTAAATAGGGAAAACCCAAATCTTATGGAAGTCAAAAATCCTAAACTGAGAACTACCATTTGTAAATATAAAAGTTTTCAGGAGGGTTAATACATACTAGATAATCTAACTACGGAAATTCTGACATAATAAAAATAACTGGATTTCATTCCAGTTAGAAGTAGCTTTTCCTAACCAGGAATGACATTATAACAAAAATTATATAACAAATACTTGAACCATTCTGTAAAATCCATATACTGCACTGATGTCATCAGACAGAAAATCCTCAGAACCTTTCATCCTGATTTAAAAACAGTAAAATAAATCCAGCTGTATTTTCCTCCAGAGATAAAAAGCAGAAAGCAATTGCTACAGTCCAAGAGACCGTAGCTCTTTCAGAGCATGTGTAAATCTTGTGTATGATACCACAGTAAATTGTATTCAATCTAGGAGTATATTTTTAGCTTCCAGATCTCCTAGCATGCCCTATATAAGATTGTAAGGTTCCTTGTGTTGTCTTTTGCAATGCTTTAGTTTTTCTCAAATAATTACATTAAGATCCATCTTCTTATAATATATGGGAAATACAGCCAGCATATGAAGTTATTTATAAAAATTTGTAATGAGCTATATTGAAAATGACAAGCAAAAGGCATTGGATTCACTTGTACCAGTTCAACCTTATAGGATTACAGTGCCATTTTCAAAGACCAACAGTCTACCTTAAGAAATACAGTCAGACTATGTATCTACATGAATCTTTTGAGGTAGGCTTAGTCTGCAACTCTGAATCTTAACCAATGGCTGCAGAAACCTGCTTATAATTCTGCTTTATGATGTGTGCAGATTTTGGCTGGGGTAGAGTTTTATTTGAAATTTTCATGATTGTTTCAGTGTCTCCCCAGAATGTCTTAAAATGGTAAAAGCGTAGTCTTCAGTTATTTTATATAATTAAGCTGGTAATACAAAAAATCCATTCAAATGCCCTTAATCAGGAAGTAATTAGTTCTCTTGTTTTTTCCACATTAAAAGATTAAAAGTTTATCTCAGCAGGGTGGAAGATAAAAATGGCAGTTAATGCTGTAGCCTTGCCAAGACTGGAAAATAAAGAACAGAAAGAACCTTGGAAAAACCCTCTTAGCTTCTTCCTCTTAATGCATAATGCACTCTCTCTTGGAAATAACGTGGAGAAATAAATTCTCAGAAAGATTGCACAAGGCTGTTTTATAGAAGCAAGGAAAGTGAAGCTCCAGATACTTGTGACTTTATTATAAAAGTCGCCTTAGTGCAGAAGGGTGCATTAGTCTGTCTTGAATTCTGTTTTCTTTAAAAATGTGTTGGAACAGATATAGGATTCAGGTGTGTGCATATGCATCTTAGGCATGCAGGATTGGATCCTTCTGGCTAGTGCTCTGACAAAGCCATAAACATTCTTTCTTAGAGCAAATGGCAGCCTTCTACCTAGCTGTATGGGGTTTGCGTGGCAAGGTTTTGG